ATACATGTATATATATACATATATATACATGTATGTATTTGTAAAGAGACAGGGTGGGGGCACTGCGGGGTATTAATATTACAATTGAACATCCTGAGACATGCACGTGTTCTCTCTGTCTCATCAAACACATATTTGGCACTGTTAGTTCATAAAACTTCCCCCAGTGCGTTTCTCAGGGCTGGAGGTCAACGGGATACTTAAGTGTTGTGCGTTAAGGGCGTGGGCCTTTCCTACTCGACTTAGTAAGCTGTCACGCCTTCTGGAGGCAGGTTTATGTCGTCACACGATCCCTTGTCTGGGATGCAAATGTTTGGCCCACAGTGTATATGTTTTTTTTTTCTAGTTGTAAGACAGCAGTTCATTCACAACTATGGGAGCCGAGGTGGAAAATAATGACACTCAGCCAAAAGAAGAAGTTCCGCTTTGAGACTTTGTGGTAATTTCACAGATTGGAAGTCTATGGGTAGTGCATCTTTTATATTTTATTTATTTAGTTAGTTTATTTATTATTTTCAGTTTTTTTATTATCATTATTTTACTTTTCATCAAACCCAGGAATATTTCAGTGCCAACATCTCTGAAGGAAGCCCGTCGTCAGTGGTTTTGGCGGATTGACTTTTCCACGAAGTAGTAATGGCTACTGCAAGGACTGATTATGTTGCTCCATGGTGGACTTACTGGCTGCACAATTTCCCTCACTTCAATTTCTTTTTCCAGACGGTCGACAGCACTTTCAAACCGGAGGAGGCGAGCTATCAGCAGGTTGGTAACTGTAGTTGTGGGTAGAGGCGCACGTATTTTCAAAATAATCTCACTAGAAAATCAGGGCTGTTGCCCATCAGAGACTTTCAAAAGCAGTAGTAGGCATATTTAGATATGCCGTTACACAAAAACTAGGCAGTCTGCTTCGGTTACATGTAGCTTTTCTATTGACCCTCTCCGAGAGCCACCAGTGTGTCTCCCTCAAATGTTTGATCCAGATATTGGAGCGTTAAGAACCGACGTCGTCCTGCAGTTCTCACATGATAGGACACATGACCTGTATTAACTAAGCTGGCTCATGTAGTAAACAACAGTATTCCGGTATGTGTGTTTTCTGTGTGTATACAGAATTAAGACAGGTTCTATAGATTATATTTTTTGTCATACTGGTCCAATACAATTTCATTTGTACATTTAATCAGCTGTATGTTTGGACTCCAATAACCTCTTAAAAAATATGGAGAAAACTATAGTAGAAGCAACACCACGAGAGCGATGACAGCGTTTTTCCTATCAACTGTAGTGAGGATGGGTTGACAGATTTGATTTTAATTCAAATAATTCATGATGAGTTCATATGAGCCAGACAATGAACGTTGCATTAGTTAATTTATGACAGCAAAAAAAACTTGTGGTCGGCTAATTTCTTTTGTGGCAAAAAGTACTCTTTACAGATCTAATTAAAAATAATATTTATTAACATATTAGTTTATCATACAAAAACAAGCTTCCTACACCACTTATTTCCTGCACCGTGTTCTAAAAACAAATGCAGAAAGCACTCCAAAACTAGCATTACATCCTCCTTTGACCCCGGGTTGTTTATGAGTTGAAAATTCATCACCAAGAGACATCCCCTATTGGTCCCTCACTATAGTCTTCTGTTGAGGTCCATCACTGAATCCCAGCAGTGACACTGACAAATCATTGATAGTCTAAAGCTCTTGCAGAGTCTTTTCTTTGAAACCTGAAAGTAATTACCAGTGTTCATTTGACACGCTGGTCTGCCTTTTTTTGTTTAGTTTTAGTTTTTTGTTTTTTAGGGAAAAGTGGAAAATTCAGAGCAGCTACAAATGCATTTTAAAGGCTTCTTGTCTGCTTTTTTAATTAAATTAAGCAGGCACACTTACACCTACTTTATACAAACACTCCTTTTGGAAGATAAAAGATCAATGACCTTGTGATGAATGACCGTACCATAATTGTTTTCTGTCTCACTTTTCCCCCCTCTAATGCATCTGTTGCTTTATTGTGGCAATGCATTAAGTGGAAATTTATGTGCCTAAATGTCTAATTACAAAACAATTGAGTGGAAAATTAGAGGAATGAGTGGAACTAGCAGCATCATATTTATGGGGGCCCTGAACTGAGTTCTAGTGACAGCCAACCATCAAGGACTACACAGCAACACAGGACTCACCAACAGTGTCCTCAAAAACAAGAAGGACATTATCGGATTAAATGCTCAGCCAGGAAGCGAGCTAAGGTGGAACAGCTTAGCTGGCACCGCTATTGTACTGCCTATTTAGTTAAAATAATGTTACAGTGTTGAGTGTTTGGTTTGCTTTGGAGTCACTTATTTTATTTTTTTAAATGAAGGCTTTAAAGTAGTTTGCATCAATAAGCTACAGAAAATTGTTATTGTGCTGCAATTCTTTGGTCCTCTTTGTTATGATTCAAGTTGCTCTATGTCAGGTTGAATATCTGATAACCTAGTTTGTAAATGAAATGTATCAAATGCTAGCTTACTTGTTTGCAGAAAAAAACCCCAAATAGGGTTCAGAATGGCTTTGCTCGGAACAGAGTTTGAACAATGAAGGACCTTGGTAGAATATGCAAAATAATATCATTTAAATTCGGTTACAGTGTCAGTGCCTCCAAATGGAATAATTAGTCACAGACATTGTAGTCATAGAATAGCTCTGCTTAGTCAGCCGGAAAGAGACATTGTGAACTTGTGGGCATTAAAACTTCCAGCACTTAATATTTGCAAGTAAAATCAAGGTCTTGCTTTTCTTGTGATTGTTTTAAACTAACCAAGAGTTCAGATGTTATGCTTTTGAACTTGCAAAATGTTCTCAGCAGTGACGAACGCTGGAGATTTTCTGGGCTTAATACTTTTGTTCTAACACTAAGAGAAGGCTGCTAATATTTGTCAATCCCAGTACTATTGTGTAGTGTATAAACACTTTAAAATGTTTAGGGGTTTTTATGATGGTGGTGTATAGACGGATTGACTGACAATGCTAAGATGCTATATGCATTGATTCATCTACAGTGTGCCTGTAAACTGGGAACAAAATAAAAAAAAAACAAAGTTTTGTGCTTTTTCTCCATCAGTGGTTTCCCTTTTCTATCTGTCCTTCCGGCTTCAAATATTTTGTTCACTCAGAAATCACAAGACTTAATGAAAGGCTTTTGTGTCACATGACACCTCCTCCCTACAGCCTTGAATCATTTCTGTTCTCCTCTGAGCCACAGTCCATATTTTGCTATGCCACTTCAAGGTTATCAAGGTTTACCCAGTTTCTTTAGCCCTCTTTGCTGCATGCAGCAATCAGTAGTGTTAATGCTGATGATATAAGTGAGATGGCTAAACTCCACCTTAGAAATATCTCTACACACAAGTGTTGTTTGATACTGATGGGCTGTCAGGCGACCTTTCGGGTGTTGAGAGTCAGCTAGCCTGACATTCTCAGACCGCACATACTGTTTGACTCTTTTGATATTTGCAGAAGCAGTCTGCTGAAAAGCTCTTGACATATTTTTCAGGGTGAAATCACATCTTAATCATGACTTTAACAGATGGCATCTCTGTTTTTCTGGCACTTTTTTTTTCTCCTCTCCACACTTCTGCGTCAGTCTTTGATAATTCTAGCATGTGTTGGTGCAGTTGGTCTTGGGGTGAGCCTGCTGGTTCTGGCAGTATACGTGGTGTGCTTGTGCTGCTGCCGCAGGGACATCGATGAAGACACCAAAAGGCCTGATACCTGCTGTGTCACCTGGGTTGCCGTCATCACAGGTCTCATCATATGGTGAGTCAAAATGAACTGAGAACAACTGCATTGCTATTGTTGAATATGTAGCTAATAGTAAAGGAAGTTATGCTCACATTCTAATATGCTTTAAATTACTTTCAGCAGCTTCATGCATTTTTATTATGTTATTGATTTGTGAGGTTAGGATAAAACTGACAGTATTGCAGCCTGCAGGAACAAGAGCCCCACTGATTCTGCTTGCTGCAAAGTTTCAGCTCTTTCCATGTGTGGTGTACAAACACAACAGGTTTAGCTGCTCAGTTTCTGAG